ACAAGAAGGAATCTAACTCACTGTGGATCTTAATTGCATACATTCTGCAGGACTTGCAATGTGAATCAAACAAATTTGCCATTGCTGTTCCTTCTGTGCTGCTGCAATTTACTGTTTTACTGGGAAATTATCCAGAAAAGGGATGCCACCTGGAAAATAGTATTGTATCAGTACTGGAAACTGGAGCTATTCCTGAAGAACCCCAAGGGCCTACTGTCTGTTCCTGTGCTATGGGAGAAACTGTTAGAAGCCAGAAAGAGCTAGAGCTAATGAACTTGCATTTGTTATATGCAGTAGCAATAGCAACAACAACAGTCCTGGAGGTATTCCAGGTATAGAGGCCCAAATTCTCTGCTGGAATATACTGGCCTGACTCTGGAGTTGTGAGTTTCCAGCAACAGAGAACGTGGCTCTGTGTCCTCAGAATAGCAGCCTTGAACTAAGTACTCCTAAGAAGCCAAGGGACTAAAAGCAGAAATGAGAGGAGGTGGAAGCAGAGAATGTCCTTGCTCTCCAAATGTATCAGTCTACAGTACAGACATTATTTCCAAGTTGGCACATAGAAGATACCAATTTACAACAGACCTGACTATGCCACCCTTACTCAGGCACTTACTCTATGAATAGCTGCACTGAAATCACCACTGTTCTCTTGTACCACCCTCTATGCCTCAAAGGAATACTCTACCTGGATACAACTGGCACCTTAAAAGTTAGTGTCTCTGTGGGTGATAACTATGATAAGAGTTTTAGTTATGTAATCTTAAAACAACTGGACAATGGGAAGAAGAAAAGGGAATGAAGAACAGAGATAGCCTTCGGGTGCTTCGTTTTATCAAAAAGACACGCAAAAAAAATTTTTATTTTATCAATGTTTTTTTCCTCCCTTAGACTTTTAAAATTCCTGAGTTTAAAAGAATGCTAATATTTATTCCTGACTTATCATAGCTCAGCCATTTATATCAGATAGAAGCTCATTTCTGCCACCCTTTATATAAGAAATATTTTTCCTGGTCATATGTTACCAATTTCTGGATAAAGCCCTGTATTCCATTGTTTTGCCCTCAGTTTGTGGAAGGCAGCAATACATGAGAATGATGGTTCAGGCTTACTTAAGCTTTAGTGGAAAAGGAATACTGGTGCAAGATAACCACTTCTGTCTCTGTGTCCAAGAAACATGAGGACTTCTGTCTCTAAAATATACCTTAACATTGCACCAAATACTTTACAGTTATTTGTTTGCCTTTGATAAATCAGATGACAAACACAACATATAATGGTGGCTTTATTTAACACTGGTGGTTAAGGATGTGAGAACAAAACTGTTCATTAAAAAAAAGGGATGGCCCCTCACCTGGTTTACATTGGCATAGCTCCACTGGAGCCAGCAGTGCTACACCAGTGTACACAGGCTCAGTATCAGGCTCAATGGTTTTAGAAAGATTAATAATCTTACTTTTTTCTTCCCACTGCCGCCACCTTTTTTTAAATTTTTGCCTTGTGTTTTGCTCTTTGGAACTGAGAATGCTGAGCGGCAACACTCAGTTTTAAGAGCTGATTTGGGGGAGATTGCTACTTGGAACAATAGCAACACTTAACAAGTCTAACCATCTTCATTGGACAATGACAACTAACTCTCTTCCAGCAGAAGTTGCTGTATCTGTAGTTACTGTTTTCCTGTGGTGTTAGCTGGTGGGTAGGGATGCTCCTCACTTTTTATACTGGCTCACTGGTGTGTATTACATTTCTTCTTTTTGATATATCTAGCCCCTTGGCTGATAGTTGACCAACATCTGATTCCTTTGGCTTTTCTAATCAGAGCCAGATTCTAAGCTGATGAATAGACATAAGATGTATTGGTTTCAGTATACGGATTTACCCCAATTGAGGATATGCTCAAGTATAAACTACCCTTAAAATGTCCTTTAATCACTTTCTCCCTTTATTTTTCTCGATAATATTTATTGTCTATGAATAAAGTCCCTGTAGACAGAAAGGCATGGTTTTAAACAGAAAAATAAGTGTCCCCTCTCTTTCTCTCTCCAGATGGGAATCTCTCAAAAACACCCAGAATCATTATTTTCATAAAAAGTATTTGGATGAAGTAAGCTGTGTTTAAATCATCGTTTAGGTAAAGATTTAATTTCATGGTGGAATTAAGGGTGACATTTCCTTTTTTATTTATACTACAGCAAGGGTCAATAAGGTTACTATAACCTTAATCTTTGATAGCTCAACAATAGAGTATTTCAGGATTACTGCAAAGCTGGATTTTAACTCTTTTAATCCCATTATTGTTGATAACCTTATCAACATTGAACCCTACAGTAGAGTATGTAGAGCAGCCTTGGAACTGTACAATTTAGTTATATTGAGCAAGATTTAGATTTTCAGCACAAAGAATTGGAGTTACTTGCTTGGTTGGTGCTTGCAGCATTTCACAGTTTTAAAATTCCTTATCAGAGATCTTTGCCAAGAAAAGCATTGGTCCAGTGGCATATGTTGGCAGGGCAATGCAAGGTTGTGCTAATTCTCTTCCTTTGTTTTTCCCTCCTCCCATGGGGTAACTGCTCCAAGAATCAGACCACTAGTCTGGCAAGTGAAGATCCAGAAACTTACTGCTAATTACAGTGTTTACAATCCCCAACCTGTTTGCTGGCGCCAACAATCGAACTGTATCCTCTTGAGTGCACCAAAAGACACTTGCTGGCAGTAGTTTGCTAAGGTTTCAGAATGGCTACATTAATTACTGTTAACTTAATTTTTGTGTGTTGGGCAGAAGCTTTAATTAGCTAATTTAAGGATTAAAATGATCCTTTTTATAAATTTAAAGAAATAGTATCCTTAGTTATATGCTGTTGTAAATGTGTATATATACGTTGGAAACACAAAGGCTAGTGAGCTTGTACTTGAGCTGCCAAATAAAATAGGGATAGATTTAATAAAAATCACAGCAGAAAATTAAGGGTTATGTCCTTCCTGTGAAATATAATACCCATTTCTAACAAGGTGGCTTGCTCATGGTTATCACTTTTCACTGAGCATTTGACTAGACAGAAGGAAAAACAACAAAATTCTTGCAAACATAGCATCATATCAAGCACTACAAACTTTCTATGGTGCATATTAGTTTTACACCATAGCTAGAGACAGAAATTACACATAAACTGGTATAAGGGATCAGAAACTGATTCAAATCTGTAACAATAGAAGTTCAGTGCATATCAACCACTTTCAAAATGGCTGAAACTGGTTTAAGATAAACCTGAATGGATGTAGTATCAGACTTAACTGATTTAGGTTAAATAGATTTATTGAATTTATGTCTCAGATCCTCTCCAGATTCAAGTTAACTCACAATCTCCCAGCATCCCACGATGCTTTGTACCTCCCCTGCAACCTCCTCCCCCTCACTGGGTGCGTGGGCTAGCCTCTGTCCAAGCTGTCTCCTCCAGCAGAGCAGAGAGGCATGCTCTAGCACCCTCGCCACCCCAGCTTCTGGTCTGGGCCACCACAGACATGTGGTTGCATTTCTAGAATCAAAAGTGAATGTCTCTTCACTTGCTTATCGGTTCAATCTATGCAGCTTAGACTAACCTGTGAAGATCAAATCAATTCAGCCTTGGGCTTTTTGAATCTTGGGCTTTGAAAAATGGCATTTATTTATAAACTACATTGAGAAGTGTATGAAATCTGAACACTATGGGTCAAACTCCCAGTAGAATGCTATGTTTTACACAGCTAGAGATCTCATCCCAAATTTCCAAAGATTATGGCAAACTTCCCATTTTGTACCTATTTGGCATATAAACAGAGGCTGTCATAGTCCAAGTTTATCAATGTGTTGGGCTTTCCAGAAAAATACATTAGCTAAACAAGGAAGGATGAAAGTTATATAGTTTGTTGTAACTGTTTTTTAACTTGGTTTAAAATACAGAGAATGAGTTTAGTAGGCTAAAGCTAATTCCCAATGGATGTTTATTCACTTTATAACACTACCATACAATTTGGCTCCATATGCCATAAATGGCAATCTCTGTTTATGTGAAATTGCCAGAACTGAAACAGCAGGGTTGTTTTAAGTCAAGATTTCAGTTCCTTGGGAGAACTGTGTGAGAAGCTGGCATGATGCATATACACACTATGCCTTTTTCTTGCCGAGATTGTGATCAGTTTTCTGTTCTTATGAGGAAGTCAATTAATCATACTCACTTTAAAATGAAGAGGGGGAAAAAAAATCACAGGAGTTTGTTTTGCTTTCTCCTTAACCCTTTCTTAGATAAAATTCTACAGTGTTATTTTTTGTTTGGCAACAATTATGTGAGAAGAAGAAGCCCTGTTATTTTCCCTATAGGACCCAAACTCATGCATAGATACTTGCAACAGAGTTTCAAGAAAACAACTATACATAGTATGTCCCTGATTTTAGCTTCAGGTAATATACTACTGACATGATAAGAGTCCCAGATGAATCATGAGCAATATCATATTTGAATCCTTTTATCTGAAAGCATTTTCTTTGTCTTAATATGACCAACTTGTTTGCATATGCTGAATTGCCCTGGGTGTCACTCTAAATGTAGCTACTCATAACACCACCACCCATATTTTAAATACCCACTAGTCAACCCAGTTCCAAAAAAATCTATAATGCTTTTTTCAGAGGCATGTAATAATGCATGTTTCTATATCTGAGTTTAAAATCCTATTTTTTAAAACTGCGGTTCTAAAGTAGGATTGTGAATCATCTCACATTCATCCTGACCCAATCCTACCATATTTAAGGATACAAAACATGTTATCTTGCATAGTTAATAAAAGTGTGGCATACTCAGTGGGCACATCTACATGTAAATGTTAAGGTGAAGCAATAAACTCCAGTGCTTATCATGCCAGAGTTGCTTCCAGGCACCCCATTTACATTTGCACCCAGGACTGCAGCACGTTGAGCTGGGTTGGAGCAGCCCTGTCTGGAAGGGGCTCCAGGGGGCAGCCTGCTGGCCTGGAGCTGCTCTGACGTGGCTCAATGAGCTGTGGAGGGGCTGGCTGAGACACAATGGTGCAGCAGTGCAGGGCTAGCTGGCAGGCAGCCATGAACAGCATGTGCCCCCAGCGGCTGGGGGGGCATTGTGGTGGTGGGAGTGTGGCAGTGGTAAGCACAGGAGATCCTGCAGATGCCACCAGTGCTGTTGGTGGCAGGGTGGCGAATGGTGATTCACCTGCAGGCACTGCCAACACTTTTTGCAGGGGGTGCACTGCCACGCTCAGGGAGTGCACGTGCACCTGCATGCACCCGCTATGCATTGCCCCTGCAGACAGCCCTCACACTGAAGAACCCTTGTGCTCCAGCTGGCTGGGTCAGCTTCTATGTGTGTGTTGCTGAGCATGAAAAAAATCTGCAGTGGGTTAGTACTTGTATTTACAAGTATTATCCTGCTGCAGGGTTTATTAGTTTCTTGCAGCCTAATAGGGCCACATGTGTAGATGTCAAGACATTTACAGTGGAGCTAATTAGTCTACTTAGCAGTAAATGTCTTGTGTAGACATTCCCAGGTACTCCCACGACTCAAGCTTCTTTTCAATGCCTACTTATGGATTTAGAACCCTATTGTTAAGCTCTGCTTTCTTAAAATCTTGGTCTAAATGAATAATATCAGATTAAATATGATACTGTCTTTTCAATAACATAAGGAGATCCTCCATCTTCTCTAGGTGTCATAAAAACACCTATTAATTTACTTATCCTCCCTTCAACATTTCCTTAGCATTGTAACCAGCCTCCTGCTGAGAAGAGCTGCAGCTCTGAGGCATATTTTTAAACGGCTATAGGATTGTTGTGAAGCAATGTCAGTTGCTGAGGAAAAACTCTTTCAGGACAAAACTGGAGTACATGAAAGCTGAGTGCAACAGGGAGGGGAATACAAAGAAATTCCAACAGGGTAACAAGCTAAAAACAGATAAGCACAAAATACTAACACCAAATTATTATTTTACTTACACTGGGCACAATTCAGAATTAATCTGTTTTCACCAGTGAAACCACTTTGGCTTTACTCTGATATAAGATGGATTTGGGCCCTAAAATTAGCAAGCAGAAACAAGCATTATAGAGCACTAAATTTATGCAAAGAATAATGAATGAGTTGAACTAACTACCAAAGGCAGCAATAAAGACTGCATCTCTGAGAACATTTAAAAAGGAGTTACGGCAGGCAGTTCAGAGCAAAGAAATGCTAAAGGATACAAACACTAGCTACAGTAATTAGATAGACTGAAGGCTAGACTTACGCAGGCCACATGCCCTGAATTATTGCCATAATACCCTCTCCTCCCCAATGACAGTGCCTAAGCTTGCTAAGTTCGATTTCTTACAGTTTGCATTACATATACTATATTCCAAGGGGATTTAGCCAATTTCCACCCAATTTATAATTTAGCAAGTAGGGGAACTTGATTCTCCTCATTTACATAAAACATATATTATCCAAACTGGATTGAAAAACAAAATAGCTTTAGAGCATATGGGCAAGGTACAGAAGTCTCCCAGAAGGAAAAAGAAAATGATATTGGACAAAAATGCTTTTTAGATTGAACTTTTTAGGCTTATTTCTGACAACGAAATTTATGACAACCTTCACATAGCTGAACAACTTTTCATTGTCACAGTAGTTTGCATGTTAAAGCTGCACCTGTTTATTAGTTTTTTCACTACAGATGAGAGGGGCTTGTGCAGCTAATACCCAAACGAACAATGGAATTGGTTTTATTACCCTGACAGGTTTATACTAGTTCAAAATGGTAACTGATCACATTCTCTAGTGTACTGGCAATAGGTTGTTGGTGAATGTCAGGTTCTTTATATTTCTTTATTCCACTTGTTGCAGAATGCATATATTTCTTATGTCAAATGCATAGAAAATTGCACGTCCTATTTGGATTTGAGTTCACTTGGCTACTTTTCTCAGGATGGTGGCTTACCATAGAATTTTGTGTCCTCAAACTTATGTTTATTTGGTTGGATTTTCCCTTCAAGATGTCTGTATCCTAATAAAACTGGTAGCATATACTGAAGTTCTTTGAAAGTAGGGCTGTATTTTGAGCACTAAATTTGATTTTCCTCCTCCAAATTATGCCCATTTTTCCCATGCTGCCTGAATAGACAGTATGGTTAATACTAACCATACAGCATATAGATGCAGTAGGTGTGAACATTTTCACTGCAATACATAGAAAAATGCTGTATCATTACTGATGTATATTGGTTGGAGGTAATGTTTGCTTGATCTTATTTTATGGTTGAAAGAGGGACCCCAGGATCTTTATTTGAAATCTTAGAGCACATTAATCAAGGCACATGAAGATGAGTATTTTGTGTTCTAGTTCCTTGTTAAATGCATGACATGCACACATTGCACTACACTGAAAGATCCGCAGGAGTAAAATTTCTATATCTGCATTTAGATAAAACAAATTATGACAGAACTCCAGTGCTCTTCCTATTCTTTGCAAAGTCCTTACACCAGATTCTAGCCTGATATACAGTAAGACATACTGATTTGGACTAATACAGCATCCGGCCTTCTTATTTAAAAATAAACATTCCTAGAGGAAGGTATATGGTCCCAGTCTTTTGGCCTTTCACTGTTGTTATTATAGAACACTAATAGCAACAAGTTAAGTTTGATACTGAACTCTGTTACACAAGGCAATCTGTCGCTATTTTAGAAAGCCATTCCTCATACTTCTGAGCAGCAAACGGCCCATCACTAAGAAGGCCAGCTCTTGTTGGCCTGAGCTGCTGACTTCTATGAAACAAAATTCTGACCTAACTCCTAGTTCTGGAGTTAATCTCAGAAGACAGATTTTAATAGAAAAAAAAAGCAGAGGTATTGCCCTGAGCCTGTCTAAAAAGCCAGTACAGTATTTTGGTTTTGCAGTAAATACATGGGAAATATTCTAAATGTAAATATATATGGTAAAAGTTAAATTACATAAGCTCACCCAAAATAATTTTTATTTTCCTTTTGATCTTCTCTATTATTTCAGATTACAGTCTATTCCTCTTCTTCTAAATTTTTAAGCCACCCAAACTCCCATTGCATCAAGGATTCTGACTATTCACACAGGTGAAGAGGACTTACTGGCTTGGTGAAACAGTGGCTAAATGTTCAAAAAGACATGACAGTGTAATTATTTCTGTCAAGGATACTGTCAAATAATAAAATTATGTTTGTGTTCTTTTTTATATGCTTCTTTGTGTCCTTTTGTATATACTCCTTTGTGTTATATAAACAATACCTGGATGTTTTGGGTGGTTGGGAGAATGGGGATGGAATACAGGTTTGTTTGAATAGTATGTTTGTCTCTTACTTGTTTCAATGTTAGAAATAATCAGGACATTTATATCCTGTTTTTACCAAGTGACTTCAGGAATGACTAAAGAGCTAGGATATGATGACATCATAGCAGACTAAACAGGATTATGTTATCTTAAAAAACAGGACTGGCGCATGAACAATTGAGTGGGGAAATTATTTTAGTTAAACTCTGGAAAAAAACTTTCATTTTTAATAGCTTGTATTAACCCAAATTTAATTCAAGTTTCTGACAAACTTATGGAAGAAAAGCTCTCTTTCTTAAAGATTAAAAGTCCTCTGCCCCTTCAACTGAGGTCTGAAAAAGCTCTCAATGTGTTTCCTTAGTATTCTAATAAGCCATCCAGGAAAAAAATGAAAATGTAAAGTTCCCAATATTTCTGATGTGAAGTACAAAGATAATAATCTGTCCCTTCCCCCCCACTACCCCCTCCACATTTGGATCATCCTAAAAGACCAGAAAAAGGCACTAGTACTCTTTTTTTTTACTTTGCTGGTCACCTTTAACTACCATAGCATTGAGGCTGTAATAACTGTTGCCTCAATAAACCAGCAGCTGTTGGACTGTATAATTTTAGATTTTAGGAAAAGATTTTTCTGCCTCATCGTTGAAGAGGTCATATTGCTTTTTATGTGCTTAGAATAACACCATAAGTTACCTCTAAAGTATAATTATTAAAAGTTTAGCTTCCAAAGGGCATGATGTATTAATGCTTCAAATCTCACTGCTCATATCTGTTGCCATTTGAGTAAAAAAATCTATAATGTGACAATAACACTGATGCATTAAAAAAAAATCAGTTAGCTATCAACTAGTAACTTCTTGTTAAAAGATGGTGACTATTTATAAAGACATTGCCCTCTGATAATCTGGTAGAAATCTGGTAGAGGTCTACATTTTCTTTTCAGCTGCAGATACAGTGAAATGTTTCTTTCTTTTTTTCTTTCTTTTTTTTTTTGATAACAGGCTCTACAATTAAATACTATTTAGTTCCTGTTTTAGATATTATTCTGTCTCTCATTTAAAAAAAAGTGTCCCATAGTGATAATTTTATATCGATTTTCAATTATTTAAAAGACTGACTTGTCTTGTGGAGATTAATGAATATTGTGATATTTTACTACTTAGTAAGAAAACTGCTAAATATCAAAAACAAAGATTATGAGTTGGCATTTCTAACATTAGAGGAAATTCAGCTACAATATTTTTACTTTGATTTCATACCTAACATTTAATAATTTGAGAGGGGGACACATTACATTTAATTTCAGATAAATTGATACAGAACAACATTATGGTGACAATTGACCTTGAAACAGATGAAAGAATAAGGTGGACATGAGTTTGTACAGTGCATCTAAAATATATTCACTTTAAGAAGGTTACTTGGAAACTTTGAAAAGCCTATAATGGCCCTACTTTCTTCTTTGTAATGACACAAAATATCAGAGAAATATCAGAGCCATTTCGATTTCATAGAATCATATCACAGGTGTTAGAGATAGGAAGGGCCTCCAGAATTAGCTCTCCCAGACAATGCAGGATGATTGTTGCCTACACTATCTTCTCTAGTGACTTGGCCAATCTAGCTTAAAATTTCCCAAATCAAGGGGCTTCCACTACTTCATATATTCTCCCATTCACTGAAATGGGAGCAGTATTAGACCCACTGAGAAAAAGTTTTTCTTGATATCCAGTCTAAATTTTCCTTTTCTTAACTTCATTCCTTTGTTCCTTAGTTGTGCCCTCAGGCACTACAGTAAATTGTTCTCCTTCTTGGGCTTAAAAGCCTGGCTTTATTGAGATCAATGGGAGTTCTCCCGTTGACTTCAATGTGGACAAGTTCTGAACCTTGATGTTTACATTTATTTCCATATTTGACTGGCTTATTTTTTCCTACTACATTAATCCCTCAAGCTTCTGGATCCACTCTTATTTCAGTTGCCATCAACTGATCAATCATCTCTCTGGAAAAGTAATCTCTAAATAGAATGTAATATTTCATTGGAAGTCACACTTCTGTCCTAAGCTCCTTCCCTTCTGAGATGCAATACATTGCACCTACAAATGTGATTCATATTTTTGCAGCCATGATTCTTTTCAAAAGGATGTCTACTTTGTACTTCACTGTCACCTCCAGGCCTCTGTCATCCTTACAATTCTTCAGAATTCACTTTCCCATTTCTGCATTTCTCTATGACTCAGATTTTTTTTTCAGTTTGTAACTTTTTCTTTTTTTCTGTCTATGATTCTAATTTGTCTGGGTCCCATGGTATTATTGATTCAATTAATATCTATATCAATATGAATGCTGGTCATATGATGACTAATGTATTTGATTGTTTGTACAACTCTGGTTTCTAATCATAAATATTAAAGTGGTATAGAATGAGGGGGAGATTCTCTAATAAATGTTCCCATTCCTAAGTGTTTCAAGGAAGAGAAACTGAATCTTGTAACATTTATAATGACTACTAATTAATGTTACGTTTATACTTTACATCAGGAAAATACTAGAGGATAGCATGATAGCCATGTGTAAATATTTCTCTTTGTTTTACAACAAAATATTAAAATTTTAAAAAATTAAGAGACAAAAGCCAATTGTATAAGTTCATACTATATAATATATATAAATGAATACAAATGCAGTTATATAGCAATGTGATTTTTATAATGTGACATTAAGATCCAGAGGAAAAGGACAGTGTGCTTATTCTTCCTGAAGCACAGTTAAAAGTGCAGATGCATAGATGGCAGTTTGTCATGTGTTTCTTTAAGAAAAATTCTGTGAACCAGACCAGTCACCTAGGTTGGCATCAAGTGCAGTGAATTGTTATGGAAATAGCTTGAGGATGAAATCTGAATGATCTGCTGGCTAATCCTATTGAAGGCATTTGAAATCAATGAGATTGTTGGATGTGTATGGAAAGCAGGATTAATCCCAAAGGAAGAAACCTGCATAACCTGATGCCACTAGGCTACGGTGCTGCCCTGAGTAGCAGGATCTTTGTTTTTGAAGAATACTATTGAGCATAGACCTGGGCATCCAGTCCTCGGGAATGCTACGTCTGCGAGGACTGCAGGAGTGAGACTGTTCTGTGGCATGCTCAGTAGGCAGGTAAGTCTCATTCAAAAGCACATGTATATGTGTGTATGCATGTACCTATTTGAGAGATATCAGCTTATATATTAATTGCAAGACTGTAAGCCATCAGACTGATGTGCACACTAATTGAGGGCCTGAGCCTTCCTACTAGGAGCAATTCTTACTACTTCAAGTAGACTCACGCAGTATTTTATTTTGACTATAGTGGTAAATGGCAACTGAGCTTGTTCTCTTCCCCCCTGAAAATCTCCTCTTGGCAGGGCTGGATTAATGCGTAGGAAAACTAGGACATAGGACATGCCTAGGGCCCTAAGTGAAGAAGGGGCCAAGTTGTGCTTATTTTACATATTAGTATTATTTAGTGAAAAAAGTAATATAAATATACAGCATTAAGTAGGGGCCAACAATGTGGTTGCCCAGAGCCCATTAAAGAGTTAATCCAGCCCTGCCTCTTGGGACACATAGTACCTTCATATATAGCCATGAATTTTCAGTGTTGATTGCACAGACTTAGTGACTCAGTCCTGCACAGGGCTGAGCATTTGCACTCCGTATTGAAATCAGTGGAAGTGAAGAAAATTCAGCATCTCTTAGAAGCTACGCAAACCTTTGCAAGATCACACCTTGAAGTAATAGTAGCATTTGACCCTTTTATGGACTTATTCTTAAACCAGTTGTATTTACTAATGAAGGCCCTGCTCCTCCAGAGATTTACATACATGAGTAACTTCGTATACATGAATAGCCTTATTAACTACTCATGTGTGTAAAGTTGCTCATATACGCAAGTCATTGAAATATTTAAGGTCCTTAAAAAACAGTTGAGTTCAACTAATTCTTTTTTAACTGATCCTTTATTTAATTTTCTATCAAGGTGCAGTTTACATAACAATTTAAGAACAGATTTTTAAAAGAGCACTTATTGTTCTAAATTAAATACACACTCACCAAAATAACTGTTAAAACACAGATTGCGCTATAAGCAAACCTAACTCCAAAATGCCACTTTAGAAATCACTCTCTGACTGTACACTTACAAATCTATAAGATATTTTTTATTAAATCAAATTAAAGTATTTTACTTTCATTTACCAGCAACATAATGTTGAGAAAACCTTTACAAAAAAAAAAAGTTTTTCAGATTCAACTTTCAGTAGTAAGGATTCAGATTTATTTAAGACTACATCAAGTACACACCACACATCTTATTAAAATTCCTTCAAATGAATTCTGATCCTACCCACGCACTACAGTCAGTTTGTGTTTTCCCATTGAGTTGAATGCCAGGATAGGGCCCTAGCTGCTTTAGATTTATAGGTGAGTAACCCTGTTTCCATGAGTAGTCCCACTGAAGTCAAGTGCTCACAGAATCAGGCCCATAGCATAAACAAGTTATTCTTAGTTATGTGCTACTTGGAAGCTGATTTTTGAGACTTTGAATATACATACATGTCAAATTCTGGGTGCTACTACTGAAACTGAGAAGGGTGCTTCCTAAACAAGACTGTTGGGAAGAGTAATTCTAGTTGCCTTTATGCAACTGAGCATTTAAATGACATTTTAAAAATATTTTTTGCAATTGAAATATCTAATATTTCTCTGATCAGACCTTATATTTTTACTCTTATTAACCATATAACATAATCTGCCAAAGATTTGAAAGGATAGAAATCTACAATCATCAAAATGTTAATTTAGACAATGACAAAAAGTACAGGCATTAAAAATGCATCAGCCCTATGGTTAAGGCATTATTCAGCAGAAAGAGCTAATCATATTAAACAGAAAGCAGCTATAGGAAACCAAGTATAAAGAGATGTTTTGCCAAGCTTGTATATATGGGGGAAAATTCAATCTTTACTGCACAAGATACTGAACCCAACAAAAAGCAAACAAAACCACATCCTTTATGTGATGAAATGGGAACTCCTGATAATACTTTAAGTCATGACTCAAGGGAAAATGTCAGCTAAAAGCTCAGATCAGAGGAAGGTTTGTAATACAAACCTGGATGTTTAAAATACTGTTTCAATTGGTGTTCTTGCAGCACTTATGAATGTAAATGTGTTACAGTGCTGAACCTGACTATGATTTAGCAACTGATCTTGGGAGCTCTCTGCATGTCTTTTTAAAGTGCAGTTTGACAATATTTCTGCTGCTGCTGAACATACTAAACCACAAGGAAAAATATCCGCTTTCAAGTGGTATTAGAGAAGCAAGAGGATCACAGCATTATTATCAAAGACGTGTCTAAAGAATAACAGTTCTACACGTCTGTGGAACAATGAGAGCAACTCTCTATTGAAGGGAGGAGGGTAAGATTCCTTTGGTAATTATTTTAAATAATTAGGCATAACCCAGTTGGTATTTCAATTACTATGCAAGAGTGAGAGCAGAAAACATTCTCTACCAGCCCCACCCTGCACTTGCAAGTTCATTATCAAAACCTTGATTATCAACATTCAAAATGATCCTCGTTATAGTGAGTGTGCGAATCCATCCTAAAAAGCTGTTTCATCATTACCACACTTCTGTGTCTGACTTAAAATGGCTTCTGATCTAATTCACTTAGGACAGAAATCTGGCCTTAGAGTTGCACATGTTTAGCATCAAAAAGTGGAACAATGTGAATGAAAAGAGCTTGAATAGGAAAAGGTGTGGGTGACTATGCCTGCTTTCTCTCTATTACCAGTGAAAGAAAACATGAACGGAACTGTGTCTTTATGTATGTTATACATGGGGGGCGAGGGGTGGGGAGGGGTACAAAGATGCAGGAGACGAGTGCCATGTGTTTAGTTTCCAATCCGAGCAGGAAAAGCTCCGCCAGTTTTCACCCAGAGCTCTAGCTATGCTGGGAAGGTCTGCTAGGTGCAACCAGGAGGGCGAATGCGCCTGGTTTTATAAAAGATGGGACGGGGCTGGGGCGCGAGTGGGAAGTTTAGCCCTGCGGCCAGTTTCTTTACTACCTTCCTATCTGCAGCTGCCACCCGAGAAGCCGGTTCAGGAGCGGGCAGCGCACACACTTCCCGGGACAGGAGCCGGCAGGGAGCTCCCTGTCTCCATTCGGTTTCACGCCCAGAGATCAAACTCTCACTTCCAGCTCTGCGCATGTGACACTCTGCGGGGCCACAAGCTAGAAACCCCAAATGTAGGGGCTCTGTGGCAGGCTAAGCCTTTCTGACTGGCAAAGCGTGTGTGTCGGTGGAAGGGGAGGGGAGGGGAGGGGGGTTGCACTAGCAAGGCTATTTAATTTACTGTCACCTAAAGCAGAACTGATACTGGGAGATGAGGACTGCACCATTTAGCGGGGCAGTCGCAATGTGCGGCCGAGGGATGGGGACCCTTTGCAAGAGCCTGTTCCTGGGTGCAGAGGGCCGCACCCTCCGGAGCAGGGCCAACACCTGCGAGACCTCCTGCGCCTACTGCATCCCTGACTTCGGACTGACCCGTGGGGCATAGCAGCGATTGTTTCCTGCAGGGAAGAGCCAATCGTACGGCAATTGTTTCCCTTTCTTTTCGAGCCGTTTCTTTTTTTCCCTCCGTCCTTTCTTTTTGAGCAGAAGAGGGTAGTAAAATGGTGCACCCGGCCGCACTACTTCAGTGTTGCAGTCTAGTGGGACCTTGCATGCGACTGTTGCTATTGCCTGCTGAGACCACTGCAAAGTCTCTGGTGCCTGTGCTCTCCTCAGTTCACCTGGAGTGATTCCTGGTCATAATGAGCCCTGCCTCCAGCCCGGGGCTTGGCAGGGGTGCTGTGTGCCTGGAAGGGGCCTTTCCCCCACCCCGATGGCAGAGGTCTTTCCTCGCCTGATGCCTTTCTAATAACAGAAGTGGCTGCCCACTTAAGAGAAACTGCCTGCCATCCTGTCCCTGCCCAGTGACAAGGGAAAGCCTGGTTACTTGGCCAGGAGGAAACTGGGGAGCGGGCTGCAGAGGGCTAGACATTCCCAATGGGAAGGGGAAAGAAAACCAGGGACGGGATGGCCAGAAAGTTGAGATCGTGTCGATTGGATGATGATAATAATGATGATAATAATAATAATGATAATAATAATACTGACAATACCAACAACAGCCCCCCTGCGTGGGTTTTAGCACAGATCAAAAGGTGAAATAAGCTCCTACAAGAGGTTCGCACATGGCTTCTGCGCCTGGGATCCCCCCTCCGGGCTAAGGGCTCTTCTTGACGGGAAGCCGGCTCTGGGCGGTGGCTGTGGTGGCGCCTCAGCTTCCCGGGCTAGAAATGGGGGAGGGGAGGGGCTGTTACTTATCATTGACTTGGAGCTGCACTGCCTTTTTTTTTTTTTAAATAATGTCTGTCCTGGTCTGTTTTTGAGGGGGAGCCGTTAGGTAGTGGAAAAGCGAAGTGAAGTGAAGTGAGAAGATTTAGCACCCCGCTCCCGCTGCCTCCCTGCCTGGGGCGCAGGCTCCATCCAGCCCCGTCCCTGGAGAGCCTCTCCCTGTCCGCCGTGCGCCCCGGAAAGCCA